GTCTAACGCCAAAGATTAGCTCTGCCTGTATTAGAATGCCTTACGAGTAGAACCATAACTTGTACTCATTTCCTGTCTTGTTGCTTTTGTGGAACTGATAAACTTTTATTTGGGCCTCAGACATCTTCCGAGGCCTGTAAAAAGGCTCATAGGCTCCGGGCACTGTCAAAATCGGGGCTTCTCGACCTTATTTTCACTCTAGAACCTCCAGGAAAACTTTTAAAAAGCCCTAATGTCTAGGCTGCACCCCGGAACAATGAAATCAGAATCTCTGGGGATAGGACCAGACATCAGTGGTTTCTCTTGCTCCCTGGGTGACATTGACTGCAGCCAAGGATGAGAGGCACTGGCCCACGCGATTTTGTAAAGTATTAGTACCCCTATCTTACAGCTGGAGAGGACAGTGGGGCTCGAGGGGTCTCCACCACGTGCTACCCTCATAAAGCCTGAATTCCAATTCAGGTCTCACTAGGAGTGGTATTTGCATTGCCTTCACGCTTGGTAAATAGTAAAGTCCAAATGAAGCGTAGGTGCCTCCTGCCAGAAACCTTCCTTACTCTGAGTCCTTCCGGAGCTGTGGTCAAGGGAGCTAGGGTTTCCCAAGAACAAGGCGGTGCCCCAGGATCTGGCCGTAGGGAGAGTCATCGCCAGCTGGACTCCATCTTTGCCCCACAGGGTTTGGGAGCCCTGGGGATGGTTCCCAGGCTGCTGGGTTCCGGGGTGCAGTGCACGATTCTGCCGCTCGGTGGCACCATGAGCTTCTGTAAACCCTGTGGTTTTCGCACACCCCAAAGGAAGCTAGAAAGCAGTCTGGCAGCAGTGACCACGGGGGAATGGCAGCCCAGAGCTTCCTGGGGTTCCTCTGCTCGCTGGGGCCTGACAGGGCCTGTTCCTGGCTGGCCAGGGGGATGTAGAGAAGTGGCTGTGACCAAACCCAAGGAGGAGGCCACTTCCCCCATAACTGAGCCAGCAGAGGAGAACCAGGGAGAGAGAAGCCATGCCTCACCTGCTTCTCCCCGCTCTGCCCTTCACCCAGCTGCCCCCGTGGGCTCCGCAATTGAAGAGCGCAGCCCACCCACGCTCCCATGTTGCCTAGAAGCTCCAGCCCTGGGCTTGGAGGTACCAGGCACAGCTCCAAGTCCTTACCTGGGAATCTGCCAAATCCTAACCTAGGATGACCGAGGACCTCAAGCTCTGACAGGGTCCCTAAACCTGGGTGAACTTTGCCTAGATTCAAAACCAAGCTCTTCCACTTCCTAGTTGTGTAACTTTGGGCAAGTTATTTAACTTCCGTGAGTCTCAGCCTCCTCATCTGTAAAATGGAAATAATAGTCCACATCTTACAATTGTCATGAGGACTAAATGGTTATGTGGCATCTTAGCCTAGCGCATGGCACATAGTGATAAAATAAATGTTAGCTACTATTGTGTATTACTACTATAAATAATAACCAACAGGACAGAATGTCTTGCCAACAGGACAGAATGAACTTACCCACGTGTTAAAGAACAGCCTCCATTGTGGCAACCCCACACACCCCAGGTTTGAGCAGAGGCAGTGAGTCCAGCCTGCCCCAGGGCTCAGGGAAAGGCCCAGCTTCCCCTTAGGAGCAGCAGGCACAAGTGTGAAAGCCACCCAGAGTCCCAGTCAGCACCAGCCAGAGGGGATGTCCCCAAAGCCCCCACCCTGGGGGCTGGAGCCATTATCCCCACAGTCTGGTGAGATCCTCTCTTGGCCCACAGACCTGAGTGCGTGACCCTGGCCGCCCTGAGGCCTAAGGCAACTTCCATCCAGATGCCATCGGCATGGTGTCAGGTTGAGCACTGGGTCAGGAGATCTTGGTTCTAAATTTGGTACCACTGTCGGTCAGCTGTGTGAACTGGGGCAAGTCACGTGACCTCTCTGGGCCTCCATTCTGTCTCATTTAGATGATCTTAAATCCCCTCCCAGCTCTAGCATGTGGTTTTCTCAAAATATCTGGTACACAATAGGTGCTCAATAAATGTTATTTAGTCTTATAAAATCCAACATACGACTCTGCTAGGTTCTAACACCCTAGTCTTTAAAACTGAACGACTTCTCTGATGCAACCCCTAACAGGGCCCAACCCAGGGTGAGAGCTCAAGAAATGGGTATTTATCTCATTACTGACTTTTGACCTGGCTCTCTGTCAAGCTGCTCCCTCCACCCAAGGCTGCAAGTGCCCCATAAAGGCTCCATATTAGAGGATCCAGAGGGTAGCTTCCCCACTAGACTACAAGCTCTAAGAAGGTAGGGTTGGTCCTGCCCACGTCAGCCTCACTGCTTCTTCAAGAACACCCAGCCCCACCTCCTTGGCATGAGGTGGGTGGGCAGCTGAGCATCCGCTCCCTGTGGTCCTGGGGCATAGAACTGATGGCACCCCGTCACCATCGGGGAAAGAAGTGGCACAGAGCCTCAAGCTGGGCAAGTCCTTTTATTGGAAAAAGAAATAATAAAACCGAAGGCCACTGCATCACCTGTGCCCAGCCATCCCACAGAAGAGGCACAGGTCAGACATAAGGCCCGGCCACACAGAATGGGCATGGGCCAGGCCGCAGCCCTCTGTGGGGGATCGTGGGACCAGGACCCGCCCACTCGGGCTCAGGGCCTGCCTTTGGCTCCCTCGGTAGGCACCTCCCTCCCACACACTGCTGTCTTGTCCAAAAACAATCAGGCCCCTCTTTGGTTCCAGAAAGCTACCTTCAGCGGCTGGTCTTTCACATGCACTTGTAGCACCTCCTGCCGGCTGAGGCAGGCAGCCTCTCTGTCGGTCTTCAGGGCACCAGGGCAGGGCTGCTTCCTTCCCACTGGCCGCCCTGGGCCTTGGCAGGCGGGGGCCTCGGTGGCTGGATGCTTCTCTTCCCTTTCGAGAAAGGAGTTTGCCTTTTCCCCTGCAGGTTGCCAGTTCCTTTGAACATCCACAGAAGCCTTGTTTACACGGCCTTAGAGAGCTCCAGAGCCTGGGTGGGCTGAATGGGCAGCGTGTGTGGCCCTGTTGCCTTGTCACCGGGAGCTTGGGAGAGGGACACAGAAGGTCCCAGAAGGTTGGCTCTGCTCTCCTAGACCCCCAGCTTCTCTTCTGCTAGAATGTACACAGTAGAATCAGAAGGTAGGGAGAGCTTTGCAGGCAGGGGAGAGACCAGGAAGAAGAGCTGAGCTGGCAGCCCCAGGCAAGGGGCAAGGAGCTTTAGGACATTTATTTACAAGGGGACAGGCTGGACCCATGCAGGGAAGCAGCCACAGACTATCACATACAAAGATAAGACGGGATGCAGAGAGGGGCAATCATTGGCCTGGCAACCAAGGGGAACAGACAAGTGCACGGTTACATACACATGCACCCACAGGTGCAACCACACGTGTACACACACACAACTGCACTCACACACATCCATCCACATGTGTGCTCATACACACACATACACATACACATGTGCATTTCTGCACATAGCACACTCACATATATGCACTCACACGCGTGCCTGCATGCACACACACTCATTCTCACATACACACAGGTTCTAATCTCAGGAAGTTGGCTCCAGTTCTGAAGGTTCAAACCTCCCAAGGCTACATGTCTCCATGAAGCATTTCTCCAGACCCCCAAATAACCTCCTAGAGCCCCAGGCTGTGTGCCCCACAACCAGCGCCTGATGTCCTGCAAAATCTCAGGAGTTGGATATTTCTTGGCAAGGCCAAGGTGGCCTCCAGGCTTTGAGCAGAGGAAGGGGAAGCCAGGAGTCCAGAAGAGGTCAGGAGGGGACTGAGCAGCTCCCATCTCCCCAGACCTCGAATCGGTGGAGGCAGGATCACAGACAGGCAGAGCCCCTGCAGTGGCACCAGAAAGAGCAGACACTGGGAGACAGCCACGGGGAGCAGGACCCTGGGGGGAGAGAGTCCTGGCGGATGTGGGATTTGGGGTGAGGAATCATGCGGGATAAGGGCATTCTCTCTGGGACCTGAGCCCCCCTCCGGGTGTTGGGTAAAGAGCTGCAGAAGCAAAGGGCTGTCCAAATTGTGTTGGCCCCACCCCCACACCCTCACCCCAGCCTTCCCCTGGAAGATCTGGCTGCGTGTGACCAGACCTCCCCCATGGAGAAAATGCTAGGTCAGGAAGTAGGCCGTCCTGCCAGGGGTGACAGGCAGGAGGGAGTAAAGGGGGGCGCGGGTAGATGGCCCGCGGGAATCACCGGGCCAGTCACCCTTCCTCCCGCCCCCCCCTCCCTGGGGAGCAGCAGGGGCCCAGAGAATGACTCAGAAGCGGGTGCTCTGGTAGCGCAGCCGCCGCAGGTCTGAGAGGCCCTCAGTCCGGCCGTACACCTCCCTGCAGGGACTCTCGGCCAGTCACCGGGCCCCCGCCCCGCCGCCCCCGCCGCTGCTGCCGCTGCCGGAGCTGCTGCCGCTGCTGGAGCTGCCGCTGCTGCACCGGTCCTCGTAGATGGAGATCTCGATCTGCGGCCGGCGTTAAGGAGGGAGCCCCTGCCAGCTGCCGAGAAGGGGCGGACGGAGGCCAGCAGGGGAGCGGGCGGCCGAGCCGGTGCCGCGTCCCAGACAGTGAGGCCGGGACCTAGACCCGGCCCGGGGCGCTAGACCCCAGCCCCTCCGCGCTCTCGCGGGCGCTCGGTGTGCACACGCACACAGCGACCTGCCGGGCCGAGCACTGCGCAGGCGCACAACCGGAAGCTTCCGCTTTAGTGGGTCTAATTACCAAACACCGGGACAGGTGGTGGTACGGCGTGGGAAGTGGGAAGACCTCGGTGTCCCGAGTTCTAATCCTGACTCGCTTTCTCTCGAGAGATGGGACTTCAGACCGGTCATTTAACTTGTTACCCATGAATGGCCGCGTGTGTAAAATGGTGGTAATAATGGAATCTTGGGGTAGCTGGGGGACTGATTGAAATAACGCTTGTAAAGCTCTAAGCCCAATGCCTGGCACTTAGTAAAAACTCAATTAAAAAAAGGCCCCTCTCACAGGGTTTTGTAAACAGAAGATTCCGGTCTTTGTGTTTTCTTTCCTCGTTTTCCTCTCAATTTTCCAGTAAAAACATTTTTTTAACACTTCTACTCTGCGAGTGGGCTGTGTGTACACCTTGACCACACTTTTCCAGGTGGAGCGAGCAGGCCTATAACCCAATTCCTGGGCCGGCTGCCCACCAAGACTTCATTTTTCTGATCTGTAAAGAGGGGCTCAGGAGGTACACCCAGAAGTACACGAGACCGTAGACATGTAAACGTGTGCAGAGATCCGCGTGTTCCCCGAGGGGCAGTGCAGCTTCACGGTTAAGTGTGGGACTGGGCTCAAATCCTGGCTCTGACGTTCACCGGCCGGGTGACCCTGGGCCAGTGATTTAACTTCAGTGGGCTCGTGGGCAGAGGGAAGAATAAGAGTTACCCACCTTGTAGGGGTAGTACGAGAATTACATCGTTTCAAAGCAGTTAATATGATACCTGGCATGTATTAAGCGCTGAAGAAATGCAGCCCAGTAAAAGCAAACCCTGAAATTCACAAAAGGCATTGATAACTTATAGTGGGGGAGGAGAGCTGACGACCAGTGATGTGGGGAATCCTGGGAAAATCCCTGAGCAGAGGTCCCTAGGGTGGTCCCTATTTCTGGGTGTCTTCACCAAGGAACCCACCAGTTGGCAGCTCTGGGCCCTTGCACAGAACAGCCAGGAAGGATACGACCCGCATCCCGCGCTCCACGGGGTCAGTGAGCAGGAGGCCTCGAGGGGCAAAGATCTTCTCGTTCTGCTCCTGGATGTAGCGGGAGATCTTCTTGAGAACCTGCAAGGAGAGGGGCCGGCTGAGGATGAGCGGGCAGCGGGGGAACCCTGCAGGAGGGGATGCATGGCAGTGAGGAGGGGAGCCACCTTCTCGTAGTGGGTCTCCATGCAGAGGAAGATGAAGTAGGCCGTGGCACAGGCCAGGCAGCCCTCAAGGTAGGAGCTGCCCCCGATCTTCTCCGCCTCCGCGTAGAAGCTGTTGAGGGTCTTCACGGTCTCCTCAAAGAGCTGCCGCTCAATCTGGCGGAGAAAGGGACAGGGAACCAGGTTGAGGCCAGCCTCCCTGGACCGGACAGTCACAGGTAGGAGGGCGGGTGGCAGTGGTGGGGCCACACGGATGAGGGGAGTGGCACACAGGTAAGATCGGAGAAGCTGCCCGTGGAACACTGGACTGGGAGCCGGGAGACCTGGGGTCCAGTCCAGACCTGACCATCAACTAGCTATGTGGCCTTCAGCTGATGACTTAACTACTCCAGCCTCAGTTTCCACAGCTATAAAATGGGAATAAGAATGACTACTTGGCCTCCCTTGGGAGCAGGAAACTCCCACAATATCAGAGACGTGAAGGCTTCCTGAAAGCAGACGGTCAGGCAGGAATTCTGGTGACTTCATCGCCCCCCCATTTTCATAGCTGCAAAAGCGCCCAGGACCTAATTGGTAGGGGCTCCCCATGTTTGGATGGGACTCCAACTGCATAAGACTGATTATATGAGATCTCAGGAGTATCTTCTCTCAAAGAGGTCACCAAGAACACGACAGCCTCGTGGGCGCGCACAACTGGGAAGCTGTCCTGCCTGCATCCATAATCATAATAGCTAATATTCATTAAGCACTTTCTATGCTTTCTATTTTTATTTTTATTTTTTAATTTTTTTTTCAACGTTTATTTATTTTTGGGACAGAGAGAGACAGAGCATGAACGGGGGAGGGGCAGAGAGAGAGGAAGACACAGAATCGGAAGCAGGCTCCAGGCTCTGAGCCATCCGCCCAGAGCCTGACGCGGGGCTCGAACTCACGGACCGCGAGATCGTGACCTGGCTGAAGTCGGACGCTTAACCGACTGCGCTACCCAGGCGCCCCAATGCTTTCTATTTTTAAAAGCACTTTCAGGTACCAGTGTAATGTTGCGTATCAACTATACTTCAATTTAAAAACAAATAATAAGATTTTTATCAATTTATCTGGCAACTGTAGATTAAATTATGCCATTGCGGGGCACCTGGGTGGCTCAGTCGGTTAAGCGTCTGACTTCGGCTCAGGTCATGATCTCACAGTTTGTAGGTTCCGTGTCAGACTCTGTGCTGACAGCTCGGAGCCTGGAACCTGCTTCAGATTCTGTGTCTCCCTCTCTCTCTGCCCCTCTCCCACTCGTGCTCTCTCTCTCTCTCTTTTTCTCTCTCTCAAAAATAAACATTAAAAATATTTAATTGTGCAGTTGCTTCATCTGAAAAAAAAAAGCTTTGCAGAGTCTGATATTTTTTAAAAAGTTAATCAAAATAAATGAATAAATAACACACTTTCCCACATTTTCACTTCAGTAGCTCAAAGCTCAGCTCTGTGGTCCCAGCCACCATCATCTCCGGCCTCTTAACTGGTCTCTGTGCCCCCAGCCCTGCCAAGGGAGGCTGCTAAAGTCAGATCATGTCACAGCTCTGATGAAGAGCTTCCAAAGCCTTCTCATCTCTCTCCAAGTAAAATCCAAGAAGTCCTTATATGCCTGCTAGGCCCTACAGGGCCTGGCCCTGCATCCCCTGAGCCCGCCTCCTGCTTTCCTGCCCACTCAGTCCCCAACCAGCCACACTGACCGCCCTGCTGCTTCCTGAAAATGCACAAGTCCTTTGCGCCTGTGTCCTCGGATACAACACGCCTCCTCCAGACACCCCCACCCCAGGCTCATACCTACAGGCCTAAGGGCTTACCTTATCTCACAGACCTCCCCCACCATTCACCTCTCCCCTGCTCTCCCAGCCCTGTGACCCTCACACACTTATTTTTCTAGTAGTGGTCCCCACTGGGGCTGCTACATATTTACTTGCTGTTTTATTCTTCATACCTTCCAATCGAAAATGAACTCATGACTTCACTTCTACGTCCCCAGTGCCTAATACATAGTAGTTGCTCAGTAAATACTTGCTGAACGCTAAGTGAACTTGTCCAAGGTTACACAGCTCTGACCTGAATCTGTGCTCTTTAATAACCGTACACTAGATTGGGAGGTCACGCTCCAAGCAGGTGTCAAAGTGTCTGTAGGCCCATTTTTTACATTCCTCAGAACACCCCCTTCCCCACTCACCACTACAGGATCAGAACTGTCCATCACACAAGCTAGCATGGGACCTTCCATGCCCATCTAGGACAAAAGGCCTCCCTAAGAATAGTCAGAAGCTTTGGGGTTCCCAGCCACTGTCCCTACACAGATCTGGAGGGAACGCATAAGAAAATATTATGCTCTACCCCAAGAGTCGCCCTGCCCCAAAGGACAGGTGTGTCCTTTGATGAGATGAGGAGACCTCACAGCACCCTAAAAGCTGGCTACCTGATCAGATTAGCAAAGGCAGCCCTGCCCCACCTTCCCAAACCCATTCGGATAGGCCTGGGCTGCTGAATGAAAGAGTTGGGGTCTGCCTACCGCCCTCCAGAGGGCAGACTCTCTAATTCCAGGACAGTGCTACAGCAGCCTGGGAATGAGGACCATACGCACCCCCGAAACCGGGAGCAAAGCTGGGCAGAAGGAGCTGACTTGCAAGGGGTTGGTGGTCCATGAGACACCCAGGTAGCTGGCTGAGTCTGGAGGGAGGGGCTGTGGGCAGAGCCCTTGGTCGATGACCTGGGCATTGGGATTTCTTAAAGGTCCCCAGAAAATTCCATCATGCAGCTGGGGCTGAGACTGCTGCCAAGAAGTAGAGATTCCTGAAGCTGATGCCATCAATCGGACTAAGGAATCTGTTTTTGTTTCATAAGCTCTCCAGGCGACTCTTGTGCTACTGATGTTCCAAGGCCACTGAACTAGGAAATCTCTGAGGCTTTTTCAGCTCTAACTTGCAGTGAGGTGACAGCAAGACAATGTTAGGGACATTTTTTAATTCTGCCACGTGAAGTGCCTGAACAAGTTATATGTCACATATTACTTTCATCCTGGGAAAAAAAAAAAATACATTGGAATAAGTCCCTGAGTTCCATCACGGCCTATGGTCCAAGTTTAGAAAAAAGACATCCTTACCCGGCTGTCCAGCTCCGGGGGGAATTTGGTCTGGAACTGACAGATGGTCCCATCACTGTAGTCTCTCTGGATAAAGACCTTGGTGGCCAATGAGGCACTTCGCCGCAGCTCCTGCAGATTATGGACCTGAGGAGGCATACAGGAGACTCACACTCAGGGTGACCATCCATCTAGGTTTGTCCGAGACTAACGGAGGTTTTCAGGATGTGATTCTTACAGCACTAAACCAACAAAGTCCCCGGCAAACCTGAACATTAGCCACCCTACAAGTGCTCCAGGAAAGTCATGGGGAAGCAGAACTGTGGAGTTGACTAGAGAAGACACGTCAAGCTATCCCAGAAAGATCTAGAAAAAGCCTGAATTAGGGCAAAAGCTGAGCCAAAAGGGGATGATGGTTCTGGAATCATCAACAGAGCCAGAAGCAAATTTTAACAGGAGGAAAAGACTTCCTGGTAGCTGGCCCAGATCCTTCTCTCTCTTTCCCCTTCTCCCTCCCTCCCCCTCCCTTCTCCCTCTCCCTCTCTTTCCCTTCCCCCTCCTCCTCTCTCCCTCTCTCCCTCCCTTTTCCTCTCCTCCCTTCTCCTCCCCTCTATTTCCCTCCTTCTCCCTCCTCCTCACTCTCCCTCCCCCTCCCCCACACACAGAGCCTTTCACACTTTTGTTCACTCACCAAGTATCAAATATTCATCATCAGGCCTCGTGCTTGGGGAACCCAGCCCTGAACAAGACTGAGGTCTCAGGCCCCAGAGGTGGGGCTTACAGCAAGGTTGGGGAGGGGAGTAGGACAGAGGAGGACCTGATAGCCCACCAACTGGGAGGGAGATTCAGGGTGAGGCCAAGTTAAAGCCTGGGTCCAAGAGCACCAGGGATAGCTTTCCTCTCCAGCATGTCTCACCACAGGAAAGAAGGGGCACCCAAATGCCCAGAGAAAATCATGGATAAGGTAGGCTGAACCCAGAAATTAAAGAAACACCTTGCCCTGGTAAGAAGAAGTGGGGCAACTCTGTCCCTTGCCCACACCTGCAGTTTTGACATTGACACAAACTCTAGCACTTGAGGGGACTGGGCTCAATTAATAGAAGAACCGGGCCTCTTTCTTCCACTTCCAGCCTTCGTCACCCACATTTGAAAGAAGCATCCCACTGGGTAAAATATGTCAAACATTGGAACCATGTGGAGGCCAAGCCCCAAGGGCAGAGTGAACACACAGCCAGTTCATCCTGTGTAATTAAGGTGAATCTCTTCCATCATTCAGCTTTCATTTATTGAGTCCCTACTATTGCCGAGCTCTGGGGATGCTGAGCAAAGACAGTCTGTGAGCTCCAGGGAAGAAGACAAGTAAATATATAATAAATTAGCCTGTGATAAATGCTTTAGAGAAGTAACATCTTACCCAGAAATGCTTACTCAGAAAAGACTTCCTGAGGTCTGTGTTGAGTCATAAAGAAGGCCAGGAGTTGCCAGTGGTAGGGAGCAGGCAGTGGGTGGGGAGAGGGATGTAAAGTCAGCCCAGACAGAGGGAGAAGCTTGTGCAAAGGAAAAAGATGGCAGAGAACACAATATGCTCCAGTTGACTGCAGGCAGATTTCAGCAAGACGGGAGTTGGTTTATGGATTAGGCAAGAGCAGGGGGGAATGACAGTATAGAGGACAGTGCTATCACAAAGAGCTGGAGGGGGGCTCTACTAGAGGGGAGGGTATAGGACAGAAGACAAACTTGCTTAAAAGCTGGGGGAAAGAGTAAGCAATGAGAGAAAGGTAGGAGAGATAACTTGTAGATCAAGTTTCGGAAAAGGGGAAAATCAGAGAACACTGCAGGAGACTTTCCTACATCCGGCAAAACTTGCTCTACGTAAGAGATGTGATACCAGAGTACTGGGGCCGAACTGAAGAATATATAGATGCTCCTCTTGTCTGAACAGTCCTTGATTCCTCTAATCAAGGTTTTAATTGAGAAAATCCCCTTGACATTCACTAGGATCGTATGATAACTTTGGAAAATAAAGAAGGCTTTAGTGGTATAAGTGTGTTGTTACTCTGTCTGCTCTATCTGGTTAGGATCTCATACTTTTATATTTTCCAAAGAAAAGGAAGGGGCTGTGGCCTTCCTCTGCCCTTCTAAAACCAACCGACGTGAGCCAGTGGATCATGAGGATGGATTCCCCTAGCCCCAGAAGGATCATTCAGGAAGCTCTGTGAGGGATGCATGGGAATTAGGCATGACTGGGTAAGAGGCCAGTGGCTGGGGTAAGAGGCTATTTGAAGGGATGCACTATGTTTGTAGTGTCCAGGGAAACACAAAAGCAGGTCTAACCCAAGAAAAGTGATGGTGAGAATGGAAAGAAAGGGAAAAAACAGTGATTCAACTATTCTATTGTGGATAGAGCTTCTTCCCCTCTGACGGCCTCCTTTGTCTGTGTCCGAGTGCACACATGCACTGTGTGCTACCATGAAGGTATGTGTCTGTGATTGTCTCTAGTGACCACTTCTTCTTCCTCCTAGGCATACAATTAGATTAATCCCCACCCCGCCTTGCAATTAGGTGTGGCCATATGACTGAATGGAATATGAGTGGAAGTGATGAATTCATGTATAGGCTTAGCTCACAACAACCAGCCACTCTTCTGTTACCTTTCCTTTTTCACAGAAACCAAGGAAGCTGTAGGTTGAAGATGATGGGACCACAAATTGGAAAGAGCCTGGGTCCCTGAGTCAGTCTGGAGGAGACCTACTTGCTGATCAGGATCACTTCTCTGGGACTTTACTGAACAATAAACTTGTAGTTTATTATTCCATTAAAATTTTAGGATGCTACCTTGCATAGTATGGTCTCATCTCCTCTTGGCTTTGATCTGTGAGTTCTCAAGTACCCAGAGTAGGAGAGCTCAACACCCTTTCCAACCCCAAAAATCCTGAGCCTTAGAACAAAGCCTCTGGGTGACCAGGGATCTACTTCCCTCCCTGTAGAGTATTTGTGGAGTCTTGAGGAGTTGCTAGAAGATGGTATCAGACTCATTGTATATTCCAGAGCTTTCATCTCCCAGATCTATGTCAAGCACAATATAACACACTCATCTGTAGTTGGCAAAGAGTAGGACTTAAGGCAAGGCAGCATCTCCTGGCTCTCCCCATCCACGGTGGCTCAGTTGTGAAGTACCAAAAGGCCCTGATGGAAAGAGGGCCCACTGACCTGGGAGCAGGATACCTGGGTGCTAGTCCGGGCCACATGACCCTGGGCCTCCATTTCTTCAACTAGAAACTGAAAAGCTGGAACAACATAATCACTTAAAGCCCCCTCTAGCCCTGACATTCAAGAGGCTTTCTCGGGGATTATGAATGCAAATGTTTATAGGAACTAAGCATCTAAGTGGGTTGGGTGAGGGCTGTGGCTAATCAGAGAACCCACGCCCTGTCTCAAGAAAGCGGCTGACCACTGCCATGTGAGAATGTGAGCCCAGGATGCCACACTTGGACATCTTAAGAGAATGCATAAATCCAGATTTCCTTAATATCAAATGTCTTGATTTTTTTTTTACGTTTCCAATAAATATTTACATTTGTAAGCACTAAGCAGACCAAATAAGGCACAACTGTGAACAAGATTCACTCCTAGAATTTCCAGGTTAGGACCTCTGCATAAGAAATCCCATCATAGGGGCCCTTGGGCCAGAGCTAGAGCCAGGCTCCAGGCACTTGCCAGCTATGTAGCTTTCAGGAAGCGAGCACAGGTTTTCAGGAGAGATCCATGATGCTCTGATCCCACAAGAGGATCCCAGAATATGCCTGCACCTCTAAGAGACCACAGCTTCTGTGCCTCCCCTGAACAGCGACTCTGGGGTTTCTTAACTGACCCTGACACCTGGGCTTCTCATCTACTTCTTACCTTCCTCAACTCTGCCCTCTCCCCTGCCACCATCCCAGGCTTGCTGGCAGCTGGCTAAGGACACACCAAGAGGCATTTCATGAGGAAGAAAGAGAAAGTCAGTGGCAATACATACTGGCACCAATTTTTGAACTGCAGTATGACAGGGATAGGGAGGCAGCCTGAAGAATGGGCCATACACCTGACAGAGCCAACCTAGTAGAGGTGAGGAGCAAGCACTGGAGTTCAGAAGAACATTCCCAGTCTCAATCTGCCCAAGACAAACAGGAGGCCCCATCTGGCCCACATCTCCATCCTCATTAAAAACTAGCTAATTCCAGAGGATGCATTTGAGGCTCAACTCAAGAATCAGGAGATTCAGCTCATGAACCAACACCATGATCCCTGGCTGGGGTGTGGAGGAGGAGTGAGGATCGTGAGTCAGAGGCAGCCGAGCCAGGCCTCAGGATGGAAACCCAGGCACAGGGCCTCCCTTCTTCTCAGCCTACACAAGGGCCCAAGCCCAACCCACTGTCTGTTGGCTGTTAATTCCGGGCCTCAGAGATCAAACCTCCAAATGCCTTGCTTGGATAACGCTACTTGGGTGCATTTAAAAATCTCTCAGGGGCCAGGGGCACCTGGGTGGCTCAGTCGGTTAAGCATCCTACTTTGGCTCAGGTCATGATCTCACAGTTTGTGAGTTCAAGCCCTGCATTGGGCTCTGTGCTGATGGCTCAGAGCCTGGAGCCTGCTTCAGATTCTATGTCTCCCTCTTTCTCTGACCCTCCGCCGCTCGTGCTCTGACTCTCTCTCTCAAAAATAAATAAACATGTTTTAAAAAATCTCTTAGGGGCCAAACTCCACCACTTAAACTTAAAGAAGCCCCTCCCAGCCACGCATTTCCCAGTTGTCCTTGGCCATCTGGACTGTTTCCCAGGGCGGACCCTGCTCCCAGTGACACACATTTGCAGAGGTTTGTCGCTCAGGAAATGGGCTCATTACAGTTTTCCAAATGAGGTCAGTGTCTCACTCAGGAGGCTTCATTCCTCCTCTGAGTTCCTCACACACACTCCTCCCTTAATGCTAACTCCTAAACAGAAACTGGGAAGCGGAAAAGATCCAGTTTCCATGCCTTCCATCCAGGGATCCAGGGACATCCATGCTTTCTGTATGTTTCTGCTTCTCTCCTCCTCACCCATCTCTCCCTCCCTCTCTGTCTTTCTGTCCCTCCCTCTCTTTCTCCCCCTCCCCCTCCTCCTTCTCCCTCCCTCTCCTTGTCTTGATCTCCTCTTCACCTCCCAAAACACCTTCTGCTGGAACTGTGGACTTACCAGTCAGAACCCAAAGGGAATGGCCAAGAAGTTTGGCATGAGGTTTTCCTTCTCCCAACAGGTTTTCCCTGGTAATCTTAACTCAGTCCTAACAGTAAAAACAGCCTGGGGAGAATGACTCACTGCACAGCCCAGATAATGTGCACATTCTGTGCCTTGGCAGAGCTAAGGCTTCCTCCCTCAGTACTGCCAGCAGGGTCCACCCAAGGCCAAATTGGGAAATGGGTAATGTTTGTCCTCTGCTCTCCATCCCTTCTGGGCATACCTCTGTCCCTCTGTCCCTCTGTCCCTCTACCCTCAAGCTGACCCAGCCAGGCTGAACAGGAGGCCTGAGTCCTTCCTGAACTCTTCCGCATCCGTTCCCCCATCACAGCCTCACGTGCCCACCTCGCTGTTGAGCAACACCGTTGGCTAACTGGATACACCTGGCTGCAGCAGAAAAAAAACACTGACCAGGGAGGCAGAAGACTCAGTCTCTAGTCCTTGCCCCGCCTCTTTTGAGCCATAGTCTCTTGAATACGTCTTGCATTCCAGTTGCATTATCTGTAAAATGGGATAATGATGCTACTTCACAGAGATCAAGCAAGCTCCTGAGCCTCGGTTGGCTCATCTGTTAATTGCGGATAATAACAGCATCCTTGCCCACTTCACAGGGTTGCTCTAAAGCTCAAAGGAGATCATACATGTGATAGTGCTTTGTACACAGGAAAGTGCTATATTCACAGAGGCATTAAAAGCAGAGCCTCTCCCAGGGGAGAGTCACGCATGCCTAACAGCAGCCTCCTAGAAACACTGCCTCAACCTAGAGATGTGAGCCTGCTGGTTGGAATTTCTGGACCATAACAGACCTGAAGTGGAGATATGATGGGACAGACGGCCTCCTGGGATCTGTCAGATCACATCACAGGTGGGGCTGCCTTCTCTGCCCACTCCTCTGGCCCAGCTGTGCCAAGTTGTCCTTTGCTGCCCAATACCAGCAGGCTTTGCTGCAGCCTGGCAGCCCTATCTGGAAGGTGACCAGATCCTTGATCATTTCTCCTTTGTTCTTCCTGCTCTCCTCAGTAACTTTGGCACTTTCCAAGCTTTCTGATTATTTATTTATTTTGCATTCCTCCACCTGTAAAACCAAGCTCCATGGGTCTGCTTAAGGCTTGGCCCCTCACAAGGTCCTAGAGGATGAGCTCTCCTAACTAACCTTGTGCTTTGTCACAAAGCCAAGCAATACCAAGCAACTGTACCTTGTTCTGTGGTGGCCACAACAGCAGAATTGCAATGGTGACACTTGGTGTTGATGTCACCCTGCTCACCAGGACGCCCCGATGCAATGCAGAGAGTCATTCAAAAGCCTGTGCTGTTCCCCCTGGCTTGCATCCCAGCTGGGTGAGAAGTAGGGAAACACCACAAAAGAAGTCAACATCAGAACTGGGGAGACCCTGGTGTCCTGGGTTCCGCTCCGAAAATCCAAAGGAAGAAACTTTTCAGCTCTGCTGCTAACATGCTGTGTATCAAATAGGTCCTCCCCTTCTCCATGTGGTAGCTTTACCACTTATAAAGTGGGAACATAAAGAGCTCCACTTCCCACATGAAAGGAGGGAGTACAAGAGAAAATTCCTGACCTCTTAACCACTGCACCAAGATTCTGCCCACAGCCAACAGGTCCCTGGGTTCAACTTTCAAGTCCCTTGAAGGTGACACACCTATAAGCACACCCTGGAGAAGAAGAAGAAGACAGCTCCTCCCATCAGACCCGGGAAATGTAGACACCCTGGTACAAGAAACTTGAATGGTATAAAAAAAAGGGGGGGGGAGGAGCGGGGGCAAGAAAGCATAATATGCAAAAGTAGAGACTGGTGCAGGCAGCTCATTAAACCCAACTGTTTGAGGTTTTGGCCTGAGGATTCTTTGTCCCCTCACTCCCCCACGAAGGAAATGTGAAGGTGGACGTAGGTCTGTCATCTCTTAACCAAGCTTCTGGGTTTAAAAGCTGGATGGCTGCACTGCATAGCAACAGCAACCAGCTGCCTTCCTTCCCCTAAAACAGGGGCGAGCTCACCTCCAAACCTCTAGGGAAGTAGTTTTAGGACTAGCTGTTCCAGGGTAAGAGGAAACCCCAGCTGGGGCCCTGGAGCAAACCTGGTGCTAGTGCCAACAAGTGGCCTGGGCAGCCTCGGGGACTCAGATGGGTAAGATAGCCAGAGATGAGATGAGTTCTCAGGAGAAGCCCCCTCTTCCACCCTGACACTCTGCCCTCCACCCCTCCCCGCAGTACTGATTCAGGGAAACCACCCCATCCTACCCTACCCCACCCCCTCACTCCACCCCACCCCACCTCACCCCCCCTTCTTCCTTTCCCGCCCAGTCCGCCCCTAGCGGAGATGTGTTCCCGCACCAGTCAGCCACTGCCTGCGGGCCGGGCGGTCGCCCCCTACCTCAGTGGCCATGTTCCAGGGGCGCCAACCGCTCCGAGCCTGCTGCGAGGCCGGAGAAGGGGGGCTGTCCGCGGTGCTGACTCGGGGAGCGGGTGGGCTAACCGCGACGAGACGGGGCCCGGGGCACTGTCCGCGGTGCTGATGCGGACGCCGCGGGCCCGGCTAGTTGGTGGGCCGGAGGGCGCCTAGGTACTGGCGACCGCCGCTGTGCTATCCGCGGTGCTGATGCGGGCGCCGGGCCGGGGAGGCGAGGCCGCGCCCGAGGCTCTTCACCGCCCGATCGCCGGCTGCCGCTGCTCCTGCAAGCAACGGCCCGGTTTATCTTTGACAGCGGCGGCGGGGGTGGGGGCGGCAGGGGGAGGAGGGGCCAGGCGCCTCCGCGGACCGGGAGGGGGAAGCGCGGCCCCCAGACTCCGGCGCCCGCCCGCCGGAGAGGAGCCCCGCCCGCGGCCAGAGGCTTCGCTCCCGCCCGGCCCCGAGGCCCCGCCTCTCCTGTCAGCCCTTCCCCCTAGTAAGAGCGCCAGGAGCTCTGCGCTTGCTACCACGGCCTCCTGAGACTTCCAGACCCGGAGAAGAGAGAGGCAGGACGGTTCTGGGGCAAGACACTCAGCTTGCGGAGGCTGACAGTCCTCCACGCGTTCGCAGGCCCCCAGGTGCGGCCTCTTTACCTTTTCAACACCCCTCCCCCAACCCCTCCTCCACCGTGGCCCCAGGCTTCCTCTACCGTATTTTTCTGTTCTTTCTCCCCGTTTCTTCTCTGTGCCCCCCTCCCCAGACTTGCATGGACATTCCCTCCTCTCCTCATCTCTTCTTTTCACTGCTTTGAACCCTATTAGCTAGAGGAGAATGCTGCTGACCGCAGAAAATCATTTCCTTTCTTTACGTGCCTGCATTTCATCCCCAAAGAAACCCTGGGGCCCCTTCTTTCAGGGAGCTCCAGAACTGAAGCCAGTCTCTCCACTGCTCTTCCTGACCCTGGCCCCACCCCTACTCTTCGCCCTCTCCCCTGAAATCCCAGTGTTTACATATACACCACCACCACTCAACAAACACAAGCTGATGGTGCCAAACTGGTTTACCCAGGATGTCGGGGCTGGCCCTGGCGCTGCCTTCACAATTTTGACATCAAAGCTTCCAGCCAAATGACCTACCTATTTCCTTAATAAACAAAAAGGAAACACCAACACAAGTGCCTTTTTACACCCCTTTTTACACCTCCATAACACCCCTAGGTCTTTGGGGGAAGCGGAGTCTGTTCCTCTGCAGCTCATGGCTGCCTGAGGGGTAACAGCAGCCAGGAGACCTGGATTCTGGCTCAGGCTCCTCCAGCTGTATGACCTTGGCCAAAAGCTTCACCTCCGAGCTTCTTTCTGTAAAATGAGGGCCAGACTTCACTAGACCGTTTCTAGGATCCTTTCTTTTCTTTCCTTCAACCTTTTATTTTGAAATTTTCAAACCCACACGTTGAAAGAATAGTACAATAACCATACTGTCCACCTAGCTTCAACATTTGTTAACAGTTTGCCATATTTTCTTGATAGATATGGAAACATAGATATATGTTTGGCTAAATTATTAGGAAGTAAGCGACAGATATGAAGTTTTCCCCTTCAGTCCTTCACTGTGCCTCTCCTAAGAATAAGGGCATTCTACCCAACCACAATATTATCATCACGCCTTTAAAGATTTCATATCATCTAACATGCTAGGATAGTTTACTGCACCTAAAACACATCATTAGCAATGGCCTCTCACAAATTCCCTTCAGAACTTTTCATTTTTAATAGCTAACATTTATTGAGCACTTACTATGTTCCAAGCCATATGCTACATATTTACTTGTACTGTCTTATGTAATTCTCAAAATTACTCTTTGAATTAAGTGCTATTATTATCCTTTAATTATTCCCACTTTACAAACCAGAACACTGAGAAAATTGCCCAAGGTCGTGTGGCTTGTGAGAAATGGAGGCAGGATTCAAAATACAAGCAGTCAAGTTCCAGAGCTTGTGCGGTTGATCCTCCTAACTGTACTCCTCCCTTCAACATCTTGTAGACCTTAAACTAGCAGATCAGTAACCATATCTCCAACTGCCTATTTCACAGATGAACAAACTGAGTCCCAGAGGATAAATGAAATGCCAAAGAAGTTAAAGGCAGATCTTTCACCCCACCTTAGAGTTTTGGCCAATGATTTGGCATCAAGGAGCAAACTGAAAATATCTGTGAATCCTATGGTGGTCACGAGTATTAAATAGTTGCACAATCTGATGATCTCCATGGACACCTCTCCCAGTTCCTCACACTTGATTTTTATCATATTCATTAAACAACTATCTGGAAACCACTCTCTTTGCCTGATGACAAGAGATCTAGATGAGTCCATTTAACAAATCTATTCATTCAATGTACATTCCTTGAACATTTCCTATGTATCAGACACTCTTCTCAGAGCATGGGCTACAGCAGTGTCTACCTGCACAAAGACCCTGTTCTTATTGAATTTACATATTAATGGGGATAACAATCAGTAGCCATAAACAAATCAGTATAAAATATGTTGAGTTGTGATCATTGCTAGGGAGAAAAGTAAAGCATGGTAAAGAGAGGTGACAGAGGAGAGTTGCTTTAGAAAGATAGGGAATGGTTTTTTGATAAGGTGAAATTTGGGCAGAGGCCTGAGGTAAATGAAAGAACTTAACATGCAGGTACCTAAAGAAAGAGTGAAATCGCTTAGAGGACAGTACAAGGGCAGGTGGCAGGAAGGAGTAGGCCTGGCATGTTCAAAGAATAGCAGGGAAACCAGTGTAGCTAGACTGGAGTGGGCAAGGGGAAGAGAGATGGGATCTGAGATCAGAGAGGTAACAGGAACCAGGTCTTAAAGGACTCATGGGCCCTGATAAGGACTTTGGATTCTATTAAGAAAGTGGGATCAACAGCCTTAGAAAGTTTAGGGTAGAGGCATGGCATTATCCCATTGTAGTTTTTTACACGACTCTGAATGCCAGGGCTGGGATGGAAGCAGTGACACCAGTTAGGAGGCTGAAATAGAAGCAGTGACACCAGTTAGGAGGCTGAAATAGAAGCAGTGACACCAGTTAGGAGGTTAAGGGTAGTCTAGGCAAGATATGGTGGTGGCTTGGACTAGGGTAGTAGCGGTGCAGGTGGTAAGAAGTGGCCAGACCCTAGATATAATCTGAAGGTAGTGCTGGCAGGACCTGTTAATAGACGGGGTGTGGTATAAAAGTGAGTCAAAAATGATTCCAAGTTTGGAAGTCTGAGCCACTGGAAGAAAGGAGTTGCCATTTACTGAGAAGGGAAGCCTAAGGACTGAGTAGGCCTGAAAGGATGGAGAACACAGTTTTGTTTAGTTGATTTAGGTTTGAAATTTGATGTGCATATTATACATCTAAGTGGAGTGGGCATTTGAGGTTCAAGAGAGAGGTAGAGCATTGGGGAGCCACCAGTATGTGAACAGTATTTGAAAGCGTGTGACCAGATGAGATCATCTAGGGAGTGGATATAGCTAGAAAAATTGTCCAAGAACTGTTCCTGGGCACTTTATTACTTACAGGTTGAGAAGATGAAAGTTGACTGAGAAGAGTGACCAGTGAAGTAGGAGGAGACCCAAGAGAGAGTGGTGTCCTGGAGCCAAGCAAGAAACCTGGTAACAGAGCCCTACCAGCTGTGCCGAGAGCTGCTCATATGTAGAAAAAGATGAGGACTAAGAAATGACCATTGGGCTTGACAGCTAGAAGGTCACTGATGAGCTTTATAAAAGCTGTTTCAGTAGAGAATGGGGATGAGATCCTGAGTGAAGTGGATTTGAGAGTCTGAATGGAGGAGAGGAAGGAGAGCTACTGAGAGTGTAGACAAGTCTTGACAGGCATTTTGCTGTAAAAGGGAGTGAAGAGTAAAACAGTGGCCTGAAGGAGAAGTAGGAGCAAGGGAGGCTCTTTTAAGATGGGAGTACATTGAAGCTTGCTTGTTGCTGATAGAAATAATCCAGTAGAGAGGGAAACACTGAGGGCTCAGGAAGAAGAGAGTTAATTACAGAAGCAAGCCCTTAAGAGGTCAGCAAAGGTTGGGATCCAGGGCAAACATGGAGGGGATGGCTTTAGAGAGGGCCACAGACAATTTTCC